TGAAAATTATGCTATAAACAATTGGAATGTTGAATATATTGAATTAAACACGATTATTGGCAGGCATGAATTAACAGCCTATTACATTCGTCGTGGTTATATGGATACTGGTCGACGTCATCTATTTCCAAAAGAAAAAATGAAGTTCGAAACTACTCAACGAGAAGAATTAGAAGTTTGTACGATGAGTAAACGCGCCAAAAACGAAGAAAAAAAAACTACTTAAATGAATAGAAAAATGTTCCTTGTTGTATAAAACTTCCGGTGAATTTCTCTGCTGAACTGTTTTTATATTCATTATTCTTTAGAAAATGCTTCTCGAATATCGAAAATCTCTTATAAAATATATTCAGGAAACTATAATCAATTTGATAAATCTTTCCAAATTTAATGTTTAACTTTCGAGGATAATCTTCAATTTGGAAATACAAAACACCGTAGCTTTTATCAATAATTAACTACACAGTCACACCTAGAAATATTCGACAGAAAAAATCCTATTCTCTTAGGAATAAGTCCATCATGAATAAAAATTTTCTTCATTAGAACGAAAATGAGAAAAAAAACTTGTTAGTGCAGGCCATTTGAGGCTGAAGTGTGGAACTCACATGTCTTCTTTAGTTTCACTATACTAATGACAACGTATACAATACTCCAATTCTCTAAAAGACGCTAGTTCTTTCTTATGATAATCGATCATCAGCAAATGCTGTCTTTTTTATTTCTATACTTCGAGTAGAAATTTTTTTCCTTTTTTTTTTGGTGATATTGCTATGGTCTGTAATGGGGACGAGGAGGTGTCGGTAATGAAGACCTGTCTGTAATGGGGAGAGCAGCCGTCAAAACTCGAACTTAAAACTTACACTCACTATTTTCTTCGAGAATATATGTGAGTTCCACAAAGCACTAAGAAAAACGGATAACAGAAGTTATATATAGTGAAATAAAAAGACAAAACATCTTCCGAAATTAATTAAAGCATTCATTAAAAATTAATGAAATATCTATCAACTTCACTATGTCAATTTTCTTGTATTAAACGTTATTATCTTAAGACAAAAATTTCTCTATTAAGAATAAAGCATTATTCGAATTTAATCAACAAATCGAAGTCTATTTACAAATGACGTTCATTGGTTTGCGATTGACTTGTGTCTTGAATTAAAGACAACGAAGTATGTTGCTTTATGAAAATCATACGTTTTTGAGTCGAAACTACATTAATCATTCGCATTTTTCATAAAAGTTGATTTAAAACAGGGGTGATATTGCATCTTGTTCTAGAGTTTAAGTCTGTGTTGATATTTGTCGAAATTCATCTATATTTACTAGTGCCTTCTCAATATCTTGTGATTATCTGAGTGTGCTAGATAGACAGCGCTCTAAGACCATTACCGCAGGCAGTCATAGTTTAACAGACTCTCATCGGCAATTTTCTCCTCAAATAGCGCTAAGGATGCGCGATAACCTTGTCATGTTCGATATCATTGGATTTGGCTGACATTCAAAGGCACCATTTCGTCTACCCCTCGATAACCGTGCCTATTGACGCCGACGATGTAGAACCAACTTCGATACTAAAGCTATTGATGGAGATTTGTTAGCGGGTCGCAAGTTCTTTGCATTTCCTTCAGGCATATGACAGTCGATTATGTTGTTATGTTTGAAAAGGAATGATGAGACGGTTACAATTGATCGGAGAAAATTATTTCCCATATCTTTATTTGTATCGTGATCCTCGACACCGAAAGATACTAATTGATATTAAGGTCAACTGTAACTCGATCTGAAAACTATTTCTAAAAACGAAAGCGCCGACTTTTTCTTTATTTCGACATTTTGAAATCATGCGGGCTTACGAGGGAAGTACCTCAAGTGTCCAATTGCATTTCCTTGAAACATACACGATTACACACAGTTTACTGTGCTGATTTCGTATATCATGGTCTTACCGGCCCATATGCCTCTCTAGATTTCATGTCATAACTACCAAACCCAAGGGGGAAACGACGAGTTGTGAGTTTGTGATTTAAAATGAGTTTAGCTGAGTTCGGTGATTTAAAGTGAGTTTGTGTGATTTAAAACAATGTAAATTGTAAGCTTGTAAGTTTATGTGAGTTCCATTTATTGTGATATCTCGATTGTGACGACAAATTGACGAAGAAGAAAAAAAGAGAGGATACAACGAAGAGCAGTAAGAGAACAAGAAAATGAATGTACTATCTGACCACCTAGTATAGAACGAACACGCATATATATGCATAAGAATAGATTGGGAAAATTCCCTATACGAACTAGGATAATACAGTGGGAAATTCCTGCATACCACATTGGAAAAAATCTTATATACGAAAATGTGGATATTTTCAACACTTGTGAATGTTCGTAAACTCACCACCTGAACATAAATCATTCTCTCTCGTAGATGAAATGTAGCATTTATTACTACTTTTATCTTTTGTACAACAAAATAATTGAATTATACAGAATTT